CATGATGATAAAACTTGATATTATGTTTTTCATGTAATAAGTTGAACTAATACTCCAAACACAAGAATAGTTGGACTTCTCCTTTTTGTTGACAAAGGGGGAGAAGTATGATGTTATGCATAAGTTTATGCATAAGTTCATGATGACGTGTTGCAAGTATTCATAATGAATATTGCAATGACTTGAATTCAGTTTAAATTCAAGGTTCTATCAATATGGCATATTGATAGGGGGAGTTTGTTTAAACTCCGGGAGTTAAGTTTAACTCCATCATCAATTGGTTGTCATCATCAAAAAGGGGAAGATTGTTGAATCTCGTATTTTGATGATGAAACCAATTGATAATTGTGTTTATGTTTTAATCTGCTTTTTTAGTGACGTAGGATGCTTCGATCAGGATGAGACAATTAAAGCAGGAAAAATCATGTTGTGCCGGAGGAACATGTCAGAAGATTGGACGTCGGGTCGGTGGATCGGTCGACGTATCGACAGAAGGCTTCGGGCCATGGAATCGGGCATCGGGCCAAGAAGAGCGAGTATTATGCCAAGGATATCGGAGTTGCGGAGCCAACTAGCCGATTGGGCAATAGGCCGTAGGATAGGACGATGCGCCGAATAATCGGACGAAGCGTCGATGGACCAATGACATGCCGGACAACTTGGTTAATTGCTTAGGATTAATTGTCTCAATCGAAGTTTTATTTTACATGTACAGGTTTAACTATGATGAAAGTAAGACATGCAGCAGGAGTTACGCCGGAGTCAAGACTATGATCATGTTGGGAGTTCGAGAGTTCAACGGAAGTTTGGACGGTCGTCGGAGGTTCTACGGGAACAAATCCGAGAAGTCCAAGAGCTTGCCAAAAGAAGCTCGTCGGAACTCGCCAAGTGGATCATCACAAGTCTAGGAGTTTGCCGGAAGTCTGTAGGAGCATCACCGAGGGTTCATCGGATGATCGACGGAAGTTCGCCGGAAGCTCGCCGAAAGAAGCGATTAACGCACCAGAGCAAGTTGCAGTAAATGTCTTAAGAAATATCGTAGTTAGCACGATGATTAAGTTAGAAATGGGAGGTGATCCCATTAACTTAATCTTGGGACAATTGGGCCCTTGACAGACCCGAATTGGGCCGAATGGATCAGCCCATTCAGACCCAGATTACTTGGCCAGCGGTGGCACCACTTGGGTCAGCGGTGGCACCGCCCAGGGCTCAGTCTTTGAGCTAGGCTGGGCGGTGCAACCGCCCCTGACAAGTGGTGGAACCGCCTGAGCTCGGTCTCCGAGCTCTGCCAAGCGGTGCAACCGCCCTAGTCAAGTGGTGGCACCGCTTGGGCTTAGTCTCCGAGCGAGACTGGGCGATGCAACCGCCCCTATCAGGCGGTGGCACCGCCCAAAGGCTCAGTCTCCGAGCTCTGCCAAGTGGTGCAACCGCCCCTGACAGGAGGTGGCACCGCCCAGAGGCTCAGTCTTTGAGCTCTGCCAGGCGGTGCAACCGCCCCAATCAGGCGGTGCAACCGCCAAACCCCGGAATTTTGGGAGATGACAGTTTTGAGCTCGGAATTCAAACTGGTTTGGGGCCTATATAAACCCCACCCTTTCAGTAATGAAAGGGCAACCAAAGGCACCGAAAATCCAATCTTACTCTATGATTTTAGAGCTCAAAAGTGTTGTAAAGTCTAGAAGTTCTCCTCCCTCTTTTCTTCCAAGTTTTGATCTTTCAAGAGAGGAGAGGAAATTCTATAAGGGTTGTCTCCTAAGCCCGTCAAAAGGAGTGAAACTGTAAAAGGGTGGTTGGCCTTCACTTATTAAAGGAATGCCTTTAGTGGACATCGGTGACCTCATCGAAGGAGGAAGCCAAAAGTGGATGTAGGTCAAGATTGACCGAACCACTCTAAATCTCGGTTTGCATTTACTTTAAGCATCTTATCTTTACTGCAAACCTCCTCAGTAGCTTACTGCCTTCTGCTCATTTACGAATGTGTTTCATAGTTAAATATTTTTCGAATCGACGTTAAGACGGAAATCGGTTTTATCGTACGAACATCATATTTCAGTTTGCACTTACATTCTGATTTCCATCATAACTGCAAACTGCCTTTATATCCTTGCTTTAACTACATCTCGCTTGATCACAAGTGAAAGTGATTTACGAATCGGCTTTATTACCAAAATTGATTTTATCGTACGAATGCAGTTTTAATCGTCGAAAGTTTTCCGCTGCACTAATTCACACCCACCCCCCTCTTAGTGCTCTTCATCCTAACAATATGGACTACATCTTTTAAGTAGACATTTATAGGCAATATGTCTGAGTTTGCAACAAAAGTTGCATTTGGTGTGAGGTGAAACATGCAAGATCGGCCCTTTAACAAAGGTGGTTGGATTTTGGTGAGAGCTACTCACAAATCCGATTCCACTTCTCCTATGAACATGACACTTATTGACAAGAATTATATTCAAAGACTTGCTACTAACCTCAAATTTTTCTAAGGTTTCTTTGAGTAGCAAGTTTTTATTTTTAATTATTTTTAGTTCGTCACATTTCTACAAGAAGTTAAACTATTATTATGCTCAAACTTTAATCTATCGAAATTGAAGCATGCTCCTTTTTAACAATTTATATTTTTTACTAATTGATTTGTATTCATCAAATAAATCATGAAAAGCATTTAATAGTTCATCAAAGGATAAATTTGCATCAAATGAACTTATTACTTCATCTCCAATGGCCATTAGTGCATAATGAGCAACTTGCTCGGTGATGGTAGGCTCCTCTTCTTCGGATGCACTTGTGTTGTCCCATGTTAGTTTGAGAGCCTTCATCTTTGGTTATCTCTTCTTGGCTACGCAACATTCGCTCTTATAGTATCCTGGCTTCTTGCATTCGTAGCATATTACTTGATCTTTCTTGGGTTCAAATTTATTTTTAGTGTCATTTTTAAATTTATTCCTTTTTATGAATTTTTTGAATTTTCTTGTTAAGAGTACCAAATCTTCGTCAAGGTCCTCATCACTTGAGTTTTCTTTCAAGTGGTCTTCTTGGGTTCTTAGTGTCATATCCTTCTTGTTCTTTGGAAGGGTGTCCTCAAGCTCTTCATAAGCTTTACAAGTCATTTCATAGGTCATTAGTGACCCAATTAACTCTTCGAGAGGAAAATTATTTAAATCTTTGGCCTCTTGAACGGTCGTTACTTTAGGGTCCCAACTCTTTGGAAGTGATCTTAAAATTTTATTAACAAGTTCAAAATCTGAGAAACTTTTACCAAGTCCTTTTAGACCATTGACGACATCCGTAAATCGGGTGTACATGTCTCCAATTGTCTCACTCGGTTTCATCCGAAACAACTCATAAATGTGCACTAAAAAATTAATTTTTGACTCATTCACTCTGCTAGTGCCTTCATGAGTCACTTCGAGTGTGTGCTAAATATTAAAAAGTTGTTTCACAAATCGACACTCGATTAAACTCGTTTTTATCTAATGCACAAAACAAGGCATTCATAGCCTTGGCATTTAAAGTGAAAGTCTTTTCTCCAACTCATTCCAATCGTTCATCGGAAGACAAGACTTTTGAAAATCATTTTCGACAACATTCCATAGCTCAAAATCTATTGAAATTAGGAAGATCTTCATTCTAGTCTTCCAATATGTGTAATTTGTCCCATTGAACATAGGTAGACGTGTAATTGAATGATCGTCTTGATTGCCGGCAAATGTCATCTCTCTTGGGTTTTAAACCAAATGAGAGTGAACCTTGCTCTGATACCAATTGTTAGGATCAAGAGCGGCACTAAGAGGGGGGGGTAAATTAGGGCAGCGAAAAACTTTTTTGATTTTAAAAAATTATTCATTTCATTTAAAACAAATTCCAGAGAAGTTGAACTTGAAAGCTTTCATTAAAGTGCAAGAGAAGAATAAGGAGGTTTGTAATAAAGTAAATTGCACGAATGAAAAGCAAACCAAAATTTAGAGTGGTTCAGTCAAGGTGACTTACATCCACTTTCGGATTCCTCCTCCAACGAGGTCTCCGGCATCCACTAAAAGTCTTCCTTCAATAGGTAAAGACCGAACACCTCTTTACAGTACTTTCTCCTTTTCCCAGGTTTAGGAGAGAAACCTTACAAATCTCATAACTCTTTTGAATGATCTCAAAATTTAGAAAGGGGGAGGAGGACTAGCACTTGTTTACAACACTTTTACACCCTCAATAATTCAAGATTATAATCATACTTCGGTACCTTTTCATGCCGAAAAGGGTGAAGTATTTATAAGCCCTAATGGCTTTCAAAAATAGAACCAAAAAGTATCTCATCCTGAATTTTCAGGATACTAATGGTACCACCGTCATTAATAGGTGGTATCACCGCCTAACAATTGACACCGAGCGGTATTCAACTAATATATATATCGATCAATACTAGCATACCATGTATTCATATATATTAAATTCATTTTGATGATTTAGTGCAAAAAAGGATATAAGTGCAAAAATCATGAGTGATAATGATGTGCAAGGAGATCGCGGTAAGTGAAGGCCATCCATCGGGCAACGACCTACATAAGAAGCTGAGGTTGATCGCGATCAAAAGGTGCAATGAGAAGATGAAAGGCATCGATCGAAGCTCAGATCGTCGATACGTACCATCCATTTCATGACAAAACATCATTCCTTGCTCCAGATGTAATTTTAAAGAGTCTCTTATGCAACAGCTTCCCACAAATCATGAGTTATAGTTATCAGAGGAATTGGTAAACTACTAGGAAGCTTATCACATGTCTGCAGTCGTAAAAATTGTAAGTAACAACTCACGTAACCAACCAATGATAATTCTACTCATTATTCACCTTCTCGCTTGCATCTTCTGTTAGATTCTTTGCTAAAGTTAGTAGTATAACATATCCAAATAATCTTATCTTGTCAAAAATCCAAGCTGCAAATAAGATTGTCTTTTGGGTGGGTATGCACGATCTAGTTTTGATCTAATGTTATAGAAGAGAACAAAACAAACTTCTCCTGAGCTCCTTTTCCTAACTTTGCCCGGAAACACATTCCTGGATTCTCCAGTCAATTAAACACCATAACTTACAGTCAATCGGAACATATAATTTATAATTGGGTTGTCCAATAAATCTGATCAAGATCTGATTGATATAAACACACCCAGAATGGTTTACTCGGCATCAAGAGAACCTATACATGAGCTACTGCATCTCAAGCCTGGGCACCACCTTCCCATCTTTATAGTGTTAGACCATACAAAATCCTCAGTTCGGCCTCCGGTGACCAAAGCCACTGCTAGTAAAAGAATATGAAAGTATGACGAACATTAACATGAGCACCAAGAAGACCAGAGTCTCTAATAGCTTTTGATCCACTGCACCATCAGAAAACACTGAAACATCCAAACTCTCCCCGCATTACAAGCTGTGCCAACCCAAAAAACCTTCTCAGTAGCTTCCCATCGGAGGCATGCCAAATGGTGGCATTGGAGGCATTCCCATGCCAGCCATTGGAGCTGGAGCCGTGTAAGGTCCACCTGCGTTCGGTCCTCCCATACCAGGCATTGATGGAGCTGGTAAAGCAAGAGGCAGCAACTGTGCATACATATTCTGCACAAAAGAAAAGTCTCATTACTATGACAGAAAATCTACAAATTTTGATCCAGGACCAACTGGGAATGAACATTAAATACCTGCTGTGCAACCAAATCCTTCTCTTCCTTTTCTTTAGATTTCACTTCATTTTGTGCCTCAATCTTATATTTTACAAGTTCGTCAACTTTACTAGTGTACTCTCGAATAAACTGCATATTTCCAATATGTTACCATGATAAAACAATTATCACGGTATTGTAAGTAGAAAGACAATTATACGATAAAACATTTATATAGATATTTATATTAACTAGAAAGACAATTGACAAATCACCTGCAAGAGATATGGGAAAGCAAAGTCAATCATATTGTTCATCCAAGCCAGCTCAAGGGCAACATCAGGACGGATCAATTCATAACAAATGAAAAGACATGAAGCAAAGCATTCCTTCTTTCCCTGCAACACATTTTCCAGAAACTCAGATGTCTTCTAGAGAATGAAGATAAATAGACTTACTTAGAAAAAGTTATACCTTCAGGACTAGCACAGAAAGATGACCTGGGTACATTTGTTTCCTTCTAAATTTGTAAACTAAAAGTTGCTTAAGGTGAAAAATCATGAAACATGCATTATAGAGGAAAACCAAAAACAATTCTGATCTTCATGATTTATAGTATTCAAAGTTTGCTTATTTCAACTGTTACAACTTTCGAGATATGCAGAGCACGGTAATTACTGTTCAGTTTATGATGAAGGTGCAAGATGAAAAGCAACTGAAAACAGATTTCCTTTTTTATTGTATTGTACAAGTATCTGTGTTTTGTTTAAACTAGTGATTGATTTAAAATCAACAATAAAAATGTAACTTCACTGGTAAAATATAAACCAGTAGTTATGTGCTTCTATGTGGTGCTTCAAAAAAGTTTGATGCTAGTTACCACACAGACTAAATTTACAAAACAGTTTTATCAAATTTGACACAGAATAGCCTATGCTTTGAAGGATACTCATGCACTAGGCCACCCACAGCAGCTTCACGAATTGAGCATCCTATAGCACCATTTTGGGCTTACATGGAGCACAGTTTCAAATGTGAACCTTGAAATTCATTAAATGCTATACAATGATTCACAACATAATGATTTAATATATCACTTCAAGATGCACTGTGGCAAAATTACACAACATCTGAAGTAGTAAAGATGGATCTAAGAGAAGAAATAATGCACCAATGTTCTAAATGTTAAAGCAGAAACCACTAGAATAAGATAGAACAATCAATTCAAACTCAAAATACCAAACATCAAATACCAACTTAACTACTGAAACATTTTGCATGAAGTAAGAAGTATATTAAAAAACAAAACAAACACCCAAGTTCCATTTCCACAATAACTAAATAGAATAAGATAATACTTCTAATTCTTGGGTATCTCTTAGAATACAAAAGTATCCTTAGAGATCATATACTTGAACATAAATCAAATGGATACAGAACACCTTATGAAGAGACTCATAGGAAATTAATACGACACATCAAGACCTTACCTGTTCGATAAAAAAAACGAGCAGTTCTTCTGAAAGTTCACGGTCACCAGACTGTGAACACGTCTCCATTGCATCTTTGTACAGGTTGTCCTTCTTGGACAGCGCAATGGACTGCTTCCATCTTCCAGCTTTCTTATATATATATGCTGCAATCCTCCTCATCTCAAGAAGCTCATGCTTTTCAATCTAGTAAAACAAGACACTAATTACAAGAATATTCGTAAGCATAATAATTTAATAGAAAAGTAGCAATAACAACAACTTTACCCTCTGTGCAAGGCCTATCTGATCAAAGTTATCATGCAAGTCAACTGATTCACGTAATCTATCATAGTCTTCCTCCTCAACATAAATTTCATTTAGTGCTTCATTAACAGCAGCTACATTGTTACTTTGAACTGCAACCATATATGGCTTCACAAGATGCAAGTGACCAGCCTGAAGCAAGAAATTGTTAGATATTCAAAATATGTCAAGTTTTATTGTAGTAAACTAATTACACTCTCAGCAAATACAAAACAACTTCATTCAGCTGTTCTCAAACAGAATTAAATGAAATTAGGGGATTCAAGGACAAGATTGCACCTTCCGCATGATATCTACAACACGAGTGTGGTCCACACGAAGGGCAAGTACATGTAGAACATCATTAATGAGATCAGGATGTTCTTGCAGGTAGAAATGCACAGCCTTGTAATAGAGCTCAACATTTGCAACTTTGACAATAACATCTTTAAACTGCATATGATCCCATGCATCTGGAGAATGGTTCATGATAGTTGTTGCAGCATTGTCAAATTCATCATATTGTATATACAAATAGGTTAGTTCTTTCCAGTGTTGTTGCTCATCACAAACACGGATAAGCTTGGGAATGTTCAAACGAGTCGAGAAAAGTTTAATGTGCTCCATAAGTTTCTCCGGCCTATATCTAGCATATAAGACCCCCAACTCTGTAAAGATGCCCATGTGTGCACGTTCTAAACCAAGGCCACTTTCCATGAGAGAAATTAACTCGTTAAAGCAACCTTTGTTCTGATAATAGTCACTGACCTCTTCCAAGTCATCCACCTAGAAGAAAACACATATATCTTATGCAGTTTAACCTATAGAATATAAAAACATCTAAGTGACCAGGTAAAAAACAATTAGTATCAAAATTGTTCCATCAAATTTTTAAAAGCATTACCTGAATAATTACATTCAGACCACATATTTGTGCCAAACGGAACTCCTCAGCATCTACACAAGCAAAACAGACTTCCTTCCATGTCTTTGAGCTATTTGCCTTGCGAGCTGCATCAACAGCACCCTGGAATTGCTTCAGCTTAACAAGTGTAATAGCCAATTTTGCCCAGTTTGAAATGAAAGCAAATATGATCTTAGCAGCTTCATAAAGGGCATCATCAAATAAACGGTCGCCGACGTTTTGAAGATTAGCAACATTTGGCATAAGAATGAACTCCTCAATTTCACCGAGCCTATCAATCTTAGCATATGCAAAGATCAGTTCACCGTCCACTTTTGGCTCTTTAACCTTTTGCCTCACCATCAACAAGTATTTCACCAAGTCATGGTAAACATTAGCATCTTCGGCAGCTCGAATAACATCGAGGAACTGGGTTTCATCATCTGCACGAATGAAGGACTCGATTGCATCACTCACTAACCCTTGCCGCAACTGAGCTTTTGCAACCTGGCTCCACACAGCATCTTCCTCAACACGGAAGGCAAATTCTACAGCCCGCTCTACGCTTTGGATGTTGTCCAGGAGAACATTGACAGCCTGCACATTTAAGTTGAATTTCTTGAAAATGGCGAATGCTTCCTCATACAGCTGTGCTTCAACTGCAACCTCCCCAACTGCTGGGCCATCAAAATTGTCTAATCTATTAATGTAATCCATTACTCTCGGCGGATCAGCTTTAATAGCTGTCAAAATCAGTAGGTTTTGCAGATTGAAATTCCCACTAAAGGCAGAATTTTGTAGCACAATCTTCTCTAGTAGTTCAATAAGTTCATGTGGAAGATCAGCTGTCATGAAGGCTTTAACAGCAGCAGAGACTTGCTCTGGGCTCTTGCTCTCAGGCAACGCAGTAGAAACAACTTGATCAATAAGTTGTCTTCTGTATTCATTTTCGGGGTGAAGAACTTTCTCCCACAGATCAGCATCCATCCTCTCAACGACATATCTGTCAACAAAGAAGATAAATGATCATCTAAATGGACTAGAGTAGTTAGAAAGGAAAAGCTTCTAACAAGGTTAAATTTAAACAAAATGCAAGAAATACCTTGCTTGCAGTTTGAACAGTGAGTTTTTGTTAGTGACATTTATAAGTTCATCATCACACTGGCCTCGTCTGTATGCAACAACTGCAAGAGTAGGGTCCCGCTTTTCACAATATTTACCAACAACACGTGAATCATAGTATGGGTTAGTAGTTAGAAAATGCTCTGGATTGTTATTGCTGTCTATGATTATCATTCCCAGAGCATTATGAACATGCACATCTTGGCTCCCCTCACTGACAAGATGTTCCAAAAATTGTGTGAGCAGTCGTAGGCGATTCCTGTTTTACATAAGATGTTAGAGGTGGTATTTGTTGAAAAAAGGAAATTGTTTCTAAGAGCATAATAAGGTATAATGCTCTATACCTCTTCTCACATTCAGCCACAAGAGGCTCAACTGGCAGGAGAGAACGGACAGAAAGAATCAGACCTTTAATGAAATCTTCAGGACATTCATCATCTAGCAGCTGCCCAACAACCAAAGGGGCATTTCCTGGATTTACCTATAAATATAACAACCAAATTAGCGATGAATCAGATGCTGAATACAAAAGATGAATGGATTGCTGCAACAGAAAATTAGCATCCAGTTAGAAAAGAAAATCTTACTTTTTGAACATAGCCTTCAATATATCGAAGCATGTTGTTTGTATATAAATAGTGGGTCAAATCTGGAACAAAACCAAAACGGTCACAAACATTGATCAAGGGCCTTGCATCTGGAAGTTTGGCTTCCATCAGGAAATTCTTTGTTTTTTCAGGATCATAGAAGTTAGATTCCCGTGTTACACGTTCAACTTCCTTTAACTGTCCAGTTTTTGCTGCAGCCTCAATGTACTTGAAGTGTATATCAGGATCCTCACTGTTTTATTCCCATAAAAATAAAAAAGACAAAATATCAATATTCTTATCAAGGGTTTATACTCATCCTGAACATTTGTCTGAAAGTTTACCTGGAACTTAAATAAAATCCCAAGAAGAAGTAAAGACCTTCATAGGACTTAAATTGCTCAAACAGTTTTATGCATGCATCTACACCTAACTGCTCAGAATATTCTTTAGCAGTCTGCAAAAGACCTAGATGTTATAAACATAAGATAGGCAAACCAATGTATTTCTGGAATCAGAAAAAAAAACACCTGCACAATTATCTGAAGGTTCCCTCTCAAATTGACCAGTAAAAGGTCTTTCATGCACTCCAATGCCCATTCCCTGGAAAGGGTCCCAAAGAACTCGACAAGTGCCTGCAGTGAGTTACTTCTTAATATCTGATTTATTTCCGCTGTAGCCATCAGCAATTGTCATAATATCTAATCCATTACAAATAATAGCTAATCAGATAAAATGATGCAACCAAACATACCTGTGGCTCAATGGCATGAGTGTTCACAATAACACGTTTAATATCAGGTAACTCACTGTAATGCTGCAGCATATAGTATGATTGATTAATAATATACTACATAAAAAACTTAGTTGCAAATATTTTCCGGAGATTATTGCACCTGAAGGGCTCGGACATATAGGCCAGCCTTTTCACATAGTTGAGCAATCCGAGGTCGATCATAATGACTGAACATTCCATTAGCCAAAATAGCATCTGCAACATTTGGATACGTCACCAAATTAATCTCTAAAACCTGCAACAGAAAAGAAAATGTTAGACTGATGACCATGGATGAAAAAGAATGCAACTTTGACTTTGAAAATATCATACCTTAGTTTGAAGAAAAGCATGCTCTGGTAGATTTGGCTTCAAGACATCTAACAGGAATGCTGTTGCTTCCCGAATCATATTTCTCTACCAAAAGCATAACCAAGAAAAGTCAAACTCATTTAGCAGCCAAAAAGAGATTTCATAAGAAAAAAATCAATCAACAAAACCTGACTAATAGGGTCATACTGCATTCCCAATAATTGAAAAAATAAAAAACTTTTCATCTCCATTCAATGTTCTATTTAGAGAAGAAATTATCCGAACCTGAAGAAAAAGATCAGTGATTGTATTGTAATCTACTGGACAGCCTCCATCCATTTGTGACATCATAAGAGCAAAATTAACTGCTCCCTGAAAGAAAATTTATTGAATGAAGATTTTGTGACAGAATGTAATAAAAAAGATGAATGAAACAGATGGATTTCCAAATAGTGATAAAAGGAGGCTAACAGTGTCAGCCATAGAGCAACTTTAAAACAAATGACAAATCAAACAAATCAGTAACATATTAATATTATATTGCAACATCAAAACTATATATGAAATTTAGGTGTATTCACCCATCATGAAAAACAAGCTCTTACCTGAGGATCTGACCTCAAAATGGTCTGCAGAAGGAAAAGATAATCCGGTGTGTAGCCAACCTGCAATCAAGGATAGATTTACCATAGGGGGCTCCAGAATTTTGAGGTGAAAATCTTGCTAAAGGAAATAGTCATTGTTGCAGGCGAATCAATATGTAAGAATGTGCAAGAGTGAGATTCAGTCCTCGTACCAATAAAGATGTCCCAAGAAAAAAAAGATGGTTGTTTAATTGGGTATCTTGGAGAGCAATTTGGGAAATTACCTGCTTTGAGTATATAAGAATCTTGTCAAACTCCCTTCGTTCTGCAAAAGCAGCAACAACTTTCGGAGTAGCCCTTGCTTTTATATAGATCTTAAGTGCAAGATCATTGTCCACAGTCTAAAGCAATAACAGTTCTAGATGATCAACACAACAGTTTTAATCTCTGATATAATAATGACTAGTAAAGTGTATTTTGTGATATTGGCTAATAAAGTACATCAACATTATTAAGTATGTCTATGATGCCTCTGTAGTGCTTGTGAGACGCTACATCACTTACCTTGACAAGATCCCCAAGCTCTTCACTGCACTCAAGCTTGTCTTCAGCCAACCAATTTTCCAGTAGATTCTTCTTGTTCTGGTTCACAACAAGGCGAGATAATTCTAAAGACTCAAAAGCATTAAGCTTGCCTTTTGTTAACAATGTTCCAAAGTACTGCAACAGTGGAGGTGTTTGCCCAGCTTGGACTGGAACACTCTGAAGACAATAGAGAAGAAAAAGTGAACAATGAGTTGTCCCGAACAAGAGGGCACATGAGAAGTGCAAGGAAAATTGAAAATATAACTTCTTTCGCAACAAAGTGACAGAAGTAACTCAAGTTAAGAAATCGCTTCACATGTAAACCATGTATTTCTACACAAACAGAGCAGCATAGAAGCTCTAATTATGCTGCAGAAAAAATATACACCAATGAAAGTGTCATTACCTGAAACTTTGCAACGGTCTCTGGAGTTCGAAGAATACCTTGTGGTGATTCTGCAGCAAGTTCTGCAGCCTCCTTGTATTTTGTCTGGGAAAATAGTTCTTGGAACCTCTGCACAACCTGGATACATAGAAGAAGTAATTGATAAGTAGATCTTGTAACCAGTTTTCAAATGAGGTGAAAATGATCCAGCAAATAAATAACAAAAAAGGCAATGCTCATCCTAATTATCTCAGGCAACAGATCAATCTAAAACATAACAGTATGCCACAATACCTATTTATGACAAACATAAGAACTAAGGACAAACTGTTCCTACATAGAAGCAATTAAGAGAATTTTATAAGCTTTACAGATCGGAATGTTAGGCAAATAAGAAGTAATATGTACAAAAAATTTATATCACAAAGATGTGAATGTTGAGATCGATGTATATAGTTACTAAAAAATATAGAAAATCTAGAAAAAGAAATGTTTTCATTCGTCAACAATTAGGCATAGTTCCAATACAAAATACAATGCAGAAGTGTGTAAGCAAGATTTGTTATTTTGCCTGAAAGGATAAACTTGCACACATACTGTTTCATTTCGTATTTACCAGTCCAAGCAGGAACCAAGACACACTGCATGAACCAAGACACAGACTGCCTAGTCGTTATATACCAGCCATATTTACCAGTCTGGGCATGAATTGGACCACAAACCATCCCTTCCTCGTTCTCTCACATGATTTCTCTTCCACTCGCACTCAGCTACCTCATGCGCTAGTCAGCTGCATGACCTATTGCCGCTAGCCTATTGTCCATCACTATCTGCCTACCCAGTACCTCTCTCAATACCCAGCGCGATTGGTTCGTTGTTTCAATGATTTTAGTGAGGGAAATTCTGTAACAGATTTATTTTTTTTATAAGTACCAAAACAATGCACATCCCAAGACATGATTTCATTAAGTGCAAGGATAGATCATTATAGTTCAGGTAACCAGTTGAAAATTATTGCAAACCAACAGTGAAATTTTAACAGAAAATGAAGTATTTAAGTACTTCAGGCCATGAAATGGAACTTCTAAATTTAGCTTAAGCTGACACTAATATCTTTAAGGAAAAAAGACTCCCACCAATGTCCATACTTTACGGTTAAAATTGCACATAAGCAACAAGGTGTGTAAAACTAAGTGGTAGGAAAAATTAGATAAAAATTTTGTGAATTCTGATATATGCTCAATGTTACCAGCAAGAAACTCTGAGACAATTAAAATTTAGAATCTTCATTAAACAAGATAATGTAGAACTTGATTTTGATCCATTAAAAACAAAAAGTAATTCAAGTTTCCACTAATGAAATGCACAAAGTCAGTTATTTTAATGTATATATTAGTTTTTTTGTTGAATGGCATTATATAGTTAAGAATGGTCTTTAATCTATTTCTTGCCAACATAACTCATCCAGTCTATACATTCAAGCACTATCCAAACTATATCAAATTCTTTTTCAAATTTACAGTGCAGAAGCACGATGTCACAGATTTGAATCGGGGGTCTAAATAGGCGCCTAGGCGCTCGAGTGAGGCAAAGCGAGGGCCAAGCTATCACGGACAAAGCTATAAACAAAGTGTTCGATGTGATGCTCGTATATGCCTATGTCTTTCGGTTTTGTTCATACCTTGCATAGCATGTAAAGGGCTTGCAGTAGGCTTGGCAGCCCTAGGTTGGTTGGCTTTAGTGGCCATTTCAGGCTTATAAACGTAAGTTGTGTGTAGTCATCACGCAGAGGCAAAACTGCTCAGAAACAAGCCAATCTAGATAGCCATTTTGGAGGTTTTCTAGCTCTGTAGAGTGTGCAAAGTGTCAGCCAGTATAGCACCCAGAAGCTACTTGGGTGGCATATGGTTGGATGAGTCTTTGGGGTATTGTCTAAGGCTGGTTCGCTACCTTGTTCCACTACAGTGTCACATGGGCACTTGTAGGGACTTTTGGCCATCGCGGAGCACCTTGGACTCTTTGTTACGCGACCGTTCAGAGCTTGCGAAGTCCATGTTTATAATTTGCATTATCTATCAAGTGTTGCATGAAATGGCTACTTGTGGATCCAGAGTAAAACGTTTTCTCTAACCCATCTTCTCTTTTGTAGATCCTTAAGGGATCATAAGATATTTCGGAAAGGCTGACCCTTTACCGACGAACACACAAGGGTACCGCATGACTTAGGCAAAACCAACTAAGTCCGTGACAAAGCGTCTCATGGATTCACCAGGTGACGCACTTCAGTGAAGCGACACTTGGGCACTCGCCTGAACCCAAGCGCCAAATGCCTCGGGCAAGTGCCCAATTGAAACAATGCAATCGTACCATACTATTAAGTCTGGTTCGATTGAATAGTAGCTAGTTGCTTCGATTAAACCAATTAAGTTACATAATGTTACTATACTTGCAAAACCCACCGTCGCTCCCCCGCACGACCTCGAGCCATAAACCCTAATGCAATTGTTGCCTCCACTGCTGACGCTTCCTCTGCCACTGCCTCCACCACTAACGTACAAGACCGACACTTCCTTTATCGTCGACGGACGCATCCAAAGGTCTAGCTTTTGCACGCAGTTCCCTTCGTCGCTGTTACTTCCGTGTGCAATTCCTTCCACCATCGAGGGAGAGGATTGTAGCTTCCTCTGCCATCGACGAACACATGTCACAGCTTCCGCCACCACCAATGTCACCATCCAAAGCTTTCTCCTTTGTTGTTGCTACCGTTCATAACTTCCTTTATCGCCGCTGTCGTCCGAAGCTTTCTCTGCTACTATTGTTGTTCGAAGCTTCCTCCACCACTGCTACTATCGTCTGCAGCTTCTTTCACAGCCACTATCATCCGAAAGTTCCTCCATCACCATCGCCCTCTCCTTCCCCGCTTTCCACCGTTGGTGACTATTTTCTCCTCTCTAACTACTATTAATAGTAGATTAAATATTGTTAACAGTAGATTGTAAACTACTATTATTATATAATAGTCCCTATTTAGATTTTAGCACTACTAATCTCTATTTATTTAGAATTGTTATTAGGGTTTCAGGATTAATAACAAGTGTACAAAGCAATTCAGAAGATTCATCAAAAAATTCAAGAAAGGATCCTGCTAGAAAATACAATTATCTAAAGGATCCTAAAGATCATAATGTAGTTACTTGCATCTTTTGTGATAAAATTACTAGAGAAGGTATTTTTCGTGCAAAGCAACATCAAGTAGAGAACTTCAAGAAAGCATCAGCATGCAAGAAGTGTCCACCCGATATAAAAGAAGAGTTATTGACTTATATGACTGAAAAAAATGATGCAAAAGAATAAATCTTATGGGATTTTACTCAAGGTTAATGTTGAACATATTAAACATGATGAAGAAGACGATTATTCAGAAAGTGTCAATCCAAGTGAAAAAAAGAGTATATGACAGAAAATAAAAAGAAGTCATGATTGTTAAGAAGGATAAAAAGAGACTGATAGACTTATATATATATCAAGGATCACAGAAGAAACAAGGGCAAGCAAGAGCAAAATTAAGAAAAACAAATATAAGTACTGCTTGTGATAACGAAATGAGGAGAAAAACAATTCAGTACATTGCTCGCTTCTTTTATCAGGTTGGCCTTCCCCTTAGTTTTTGTCGTTTAAATAGTTTTAAAGTGATAATTGAAACTATTGGAAGATATGGTGGGGGTTTAAAACCTCCAAACTATTATGAGTTGTGAGTTCCATTACTAAAAAAAGAGTTTGATTATACAAATGACTTATTAAAAGGCCACAAAGAATCATAGGTAAAGCATAGTTGCTTTATTATGTCAAATGCTTGGACCGACAAGAGAAATATAACTATAATTAATTTTATAGTCAATTATTCTTTAGGAACCATGTTTGTAAAGTCAATAGATGCTTTATCTATTATGAAATATGGAGAAAAGATATATGAGTTGCTTGACAAGTTTGTGAAAGAAATTGATAAACAAAATATCGTCCAACTCTAAGTTATACCCGACAATGAAAGCAACTATGTATTAGCTGATAAGATTTATATTTTGAATTTTTTAATCTTTTAATTACTCTATCTCCAATTTGAATGGAAGAACTATGTGACTCCTAAGTCTTATCAATTTTGTTATCATTTGTCGTAGATAAATTACTTGAAACAAAAAGACCACTTATATTAGACTCTGTGTGGCACATAGCATTGATTTAATGTTAAAGGATATTAAAAAGATTCCTAACATCAATAATACTTTGGAAAGGACAATCTTTATCGTTGGATTTCTATATAATTATACAGGGGCTTTGAATATGATGAGAGAATTCACAATCAAAAGGAATTGGTAGGATATGGTGCCACCCGATTGACTACGTCTTGACATTATAAAGCGTGCTACGTCAAAAACACAATTTGAGAAACATGTTTACCTCGGAGATATGAGTGATAAGCAAATGAGCAAAAAAAGCAAAAGGCAAAAGGGCCAGTGATATCATCTTAATGTCGTCCTTTTGAAATCTTATAGTTTATATATTAAAGGTAATGGACCCTCTTGTTCGAGTCCTTCGATTAGTAGATTATAAAAAGAAACCTACAATAAGATATATTTATGAGCCTATGGATGGAGCAAAAGAGACGATTCAAAAATCTTTCGATGGAAATGAAAAAAAGTATAAAAGAATATTTGTAATCATTGACAAAAGATAAAATTGTAAATTTCATCGTCCATTACATGCAGTAAGATATTCAAATCAAAATTCTTTTATAAGAACACCTCCATTAAATTTAATGCAGAAGTTGTAAATGGGTTATATAAGTGCATTGCAAGATTGGTTTCAAGCCTTAGGTGCAAGATAAGATCATACGTGAATTATCTTTATATAAGAATGTTGATAGCCTTTTTAGAATTCCAATGACAATTCAATCTAGGACAACTACATCCCTAGGTATTTATAAATTTATATAATTAATTTCTTATTGGTATTAATAAAATAAATTTTGTAACTGAATGGTGGAGTCTATTTGAAAATTTCACCCCAAACTTACAATAATTAACTATCAAAATTCTTAGTTTGACTTGTAATACTACGGGTTGTAAGTAAAACCGAATATTTTTGTTTCAATAAGCATGCAAGGATCACAGAATATTTTTGTTTCAATTAATCTATTCTTTTTTAAATAGATGTATTAATATATTTCAAAATTATATAACAGGACAGATTCACACAAAGAGAAGAAATCGATAAGAGAATCAATAATAACATAATCTAGTTTATATAAAGTATAATCAAGCATTGAAGACTCGTCATAATTTGCAAAATAACATTAATCCAATCTTATAACAAGACATTGATGATTCAAATGAGTGGATGATGAGAAAAATGAGTAAAAACTTACAAGATATTGAAGATGAGCTTATATTTGAAAATGACAGCTTAACATGGGCAAACGTGGCAAGAGTCTCAAGTGTTGGATAATTACAGACATAAACAAAGCAAATGACGAAGATAAAAATGAGTGCAAAAGCCTCAAGTTCATCTCCTACCATTGTCAAAGAGAAGAAAACCTATTTTGATGAAGATGAACGAGAGAAAGAGAAAGATGATGATATGTTTGATAATGGCGATATTGATTATGATGATGATTGAATTTGATATAAAATTTTATTGTTTTGACTTTTTAAGTATTTTAAAATTTTTGTTATTAGAAGATGGATAATATAACTTGGAACTTTATATTTTTTAAATTTAATATTATATTTTTTATTTATATAATCATATTTATCAATTATATTATATATTTTTTATCTTTTAATATTTGAAAACGTCTCGCTTCGCTCGGGTGAGCGTCTAAGCATGCGCCTAGTGCCTTGGACATTTTAGGAACTTGACGCCTAACGCTTTTTAAATCACTGATCTAAATTTGACTTAGAAGGCAAAAAAAGAAGCTATGATAAAGATGAATTAAGAGTCCTTTGGTTTCTATATGATTAGTACTTATTAGATTTAACATCCTTTTTTTTAATTTTCTTAGTTTTTCATGTAATGAAAAAATCATTGAAGATTACAATGAAATCAGTGATTTAAAAAGCACTAGGCGCCAAAAGGCACCAAGGTCCAAACATGCCCGAGGCTCTAGGCGCTCGCTCGAGCGAAGTAAGGTGCTTAAATATAAAAATATATAATATAATTTATAAATATAATTATTTAAAATTTTAAATAAAAATATGCTATTAAATTAAGAAAATCTAATAAATACAAATACTGTTACTAGTATACAGTTAACAGTATACTATTAACAGTATACTATCGAAAGAGAAGAGAAGAGTGTAAGGGAAGACCGAGGGTGCTGACTGAGAAATGCGGGAGCGGTAGCGGCAAGCGACAACAATGGCAACGGTAGCGGTAGCAGCGAGCAGTGGGAGCGGCGACAGTGGCAGCGGTAGCGGTAGCGATAGCTGCGAGCAGCAGCAACGATAACGGGAGCGGCAAGCGACGACAATGGCAGCGGGAGCGGGAACGGCGAGCGAAAAGACAGTGGCAACGATAGCAGCGATAGCGGGAGCGGGAGCGGCGAGCGACAACGAGAGCGACGAGCAGTGATAGTGGCAGCAACAGCGGCAACAGCAGCGACAGCGAGCAGCGGGAGCGGCAGCGTGAACGACGAGCAGGGTTAGGGTTGGGGAAGTCGTGCTGATATCGATGCTTTAGTTGGTTCGAACCAACTAAAGCACCAGAGACCAAACCAGACCTAAAACGCTAGTTCAACCGCCTGGTTTAACCCAAGCGCTCACCCGAAGCGCCCAGCGGCTGGGCTTGGGCGAGCACCCAGGCGGCGCCTCTTTGAAGCGCGCCATCTGTAAATGAAGCTAGGCGCTCGGGCCTCGCCTCGCCTTGCCCGAGCACCTATTGAAATCACTGAGTGAAATTAATAGCGCAAAGAAAACAATCAATTTCATTGTTGTGCCAATTTATAGTTAGCAAGACATAGTTATTGTTTCATTTTCTTCTAGTTATGTGCATATCTTAATATACCTCATAATCATAATGCATTATATTATTGGTATAATTAACATCAATTATTCAATAAAAGATCCATATAGTGATTAGGTAAAATGCCACCTAATTGAGTTTGTACAAATCTACAAATTGCATTAATATGTCTTCTGTTCATCTAAAATCATTTTTATTGAACACAACAAGACTCAATTAGTTAAAAAGCTATAAAGAAAGATGAACATCAAAGTAGACATGCATAGATGCAAATAAACATGTTTTAGTATTGCATTAGCACAACTTATAAGGCGTTTAAATATCCACAACACTCATAAAGCAGCAAATATCATAAACAAGTTCCTTTTCCATAAAAGAGAGATACAGTCAGCACCAGGGTTTGCCGTACCGAGCCGTACCGCCCGGTACGGGGCGGTACGTACCGGTCCGACAGGTACGCGGACCGACTGTTACCAGTCCGAGCACTGTAGCAGTACTGTAGCAGTGTAGCAGTGTACTGTAGCACTGTAGCACTGTAGCACTGCTACAGTACTCGGTACACCTGAGTGTACCGCTCGGTATACCGTACCGTACCGGTACCGAGCCCAGATCGAAATACCGGTACGGTACGATATTGCGAACCTTGATCAGCACCTTAAGATTGGTGGTCTCGGCAGTACAATGTATGTATTGAGCATTTCATGAAATGATGTGCATGAACAACAAAGATCATAGTAAACGTTTTGAAGGAACTAAAAGGTATCAAAAAATTATTTTTTACCAAATTCTCAGCTCCTGGAAGGTTCCCTCGTTTTGCAAGGTTAACAGCAAGCTCCAGATTGTTTAACTGTGAAAGTCATGACGCATGATTGTTAATCATAAATCTTATGCAACAACATAAGTGTGAAAAATCAAAAAGAAAGGTGTTTGTGCAATAACATACTTGGCCACTAACGAAAGGCACAAGAGTTGCCTCATTGACAGTAGCCAGCAGAACTTGGCCCTTTCTATTTATTGCATAAAAGCCACCAACATTTGGAGCCTCTGTTGTGAGAAATATGGGATCTGGACTGATTCTGTTTCTGTAAACTGCTGTTGCTGTTTCCAGATCATACACAAATAATAGACCAAGCTTTGTGATAACATATATCAAACTGTACTTTTGGGAGATCTGCCAAAATTTTTGAATGGTAATTGAATGCTTAAGTCAAACATGCCTTTGAGATTTTACTGAAAAAACTTCAAAGTTCACCTGCATGGACACAGGGAAGTCATCTGCAAAATCTGGTGGGAAGAATAAATCTGCTTGTTTCTTGGTAAAACCCGGCTTTCCTGATAAAAGATTTTTCCTTTTAGAACAGAATTTGACTCAAAAGAGGAAAAGATGCCAAAATATAATTATATCCTTAAGCAGAGCTAATTTCCAGATTTTAATGTGTTCTGTCTTTCCAAATATTTGGACTAAAATTATTTTTTCATTTTGTCCAATTCCTAACTGCTCTTCAGTCAAAACAATCATCCCAATGCTGGAAATATTTTGTTTTCTTATGAATATAATGCCAGCCATTACTACTCTTACTCTTCCATGGAAAATGATCCTTCTCTAGAAAACTTATGCAGATAACCAAAGTGGAAATACAGTATACCTGGTTGGGCTCCTAGTTCAATGACATGCAACTTTGAGGTCGTTTGACCAGCGTTCATTGTCTTTGAGGCAAAACAAATAAGAACAGAGGGGTTCTCATTCCCAGCCACCTGGGAAGGAGATTATCAGCATTATGAATGAGGATAATTTACATGAAGAGTACCTGCAATAATTAGTGCACACAAACAAAGGACAAGCAAAGTAATAGTTCATTGTCTTTGAGGCAAAACAAATAAGAACAGAGGGGTTCTCATTCCCAGCCACCTGGGAAGGAGATGATCAGCACCAAGAATGAGGATAATTTACATGCAGAGTACCTTCAAGAATTAGTGCACACAAACAAAGGACAAGCAAAGTAATATAACCTTAAATGACGCGAAGGATGAGGCATGTGCTTCAAGTGCTTGACTACGCTGCTGATCCACAGAAAAGAGCTGCATATTTCCTTTTACCAGTTGTGGCCTCTACAAACAAAAGTATACCACGTAAGAAACAAACATAATATTGCATCCAACTTAGTTAAAAGAGAAATTATATCATCAGTAAATAACTGGAAAAAGAACATCAAGTAGATGAAGAACATAAGAAAAATAAAAATGAGGCAGAGAAGGCCATCAATATAGCGAGGGAAAAAGATCAATATCAGAGAACAATGCTCAATGGCAATAAAGAAGAAACAGCTTGTTTAAAAAAGTTGCTAAAAAAAACAGAAAATGTCAAGATTGCCTAACATCAGAAGGTATTTGACATAGTTGATGAGTTACTTATATACCACCCTCAAAGCCACATGTCACCAAAATTAAAGAAACAGAACAAAGAGAAGATGATATCAGGACAGAATTTTCTAAAGCTAATCCAGTCTTTGTACTGTTTCCAAGGCTGCACATATATCCACTCCCATTGAGTTATCTACAAAATGATTCCAATATTCATGGGTATGTTGATAACCTAAATTTAGAAATCTGATTCCCTATGCAGAAAAATTTACGATATAATTCCTTTTTGCACACCCATCATAAAGCATCTACCAAGTCCTCATTCAGGAATCAGGGATACCTTAAACCATGAAAGATCATGATTCTCACATATCTTCTTGTTCATATTGGAAGAGGATAGGATGGTTTTGTTTTCAAAATGAATAACAAAAAAAATGTGGCATTTGGTAAAAGAGTTGCGATCTAAAAATGCATAGGGCAGACAAGCAGGCTTTTCTGAAACAGAACTGACGTGTTACGATCTAAAATGTTCTTGATTAGGATAGGTAATTTGCAGGAAGGCAGACAAGCAGGCATCCTACACATCCCGGATTGCATAAGGGCAATCTTCTGAAGACTTGGTACCAACAAACTCCCTTCTTCTTTTGGCAAAGTGAAATTAGGATCTTTAACATATGAAAGCTTTTCTTTCTCATACTTAGCTTACCACATATTTGCCCTTTCCATACCCAAATTGTTGTGAGCTATAAGTATTGGTAAAAGAGATGTCTATGTTTCTAATTTTCGGCCTGTCAAACATCACCTTCATTTACAGTTTAAAAATAATTACAAAGCGATCACAACCAAAACAACTTTTTCATTTTCAAAAGTTTCAAAAAAGATGAACAAAAACTGTGTTTAATACAAAAAACATGGTGCCAAACAAGCCCTTCATTATTTATAATAACTGTCAATTGCTTTTACAAATATGCCCTTCAAGTTTAACCCTTGGAAATTTAGGATTCAACATTTTCTCAATGTACAGGTACCTGCTTGCATATACCATAGCCAAATTGGCATAAATGTGCTTCTGCATATTAAAATGGTGGAGATGTAAAGCATTAAACGTTGACATATATAGTCTAAAAAAACTCTGTATGTATGCAAACACCACTTCTCCATTGAGAATATATTTGGTCCTTTACTCACCAAGATGGCTCAATACAAATGCCTCTTAACAGTCACATGTTTCATAACATTTAGTCAGGTCTCAATCTCTTTTGATCTTGAACATTAACTTTATAGTTTCTCCTCTAGAGCAATTGCTTGTAACTATCTTGTTTATAGATTAAACTGTGATTCATATCATTATTCTCAAAACAGGCCGTCTTGTTTAATGGAGTACCATCCTCACCTATCATTTTCTTCATTGAATTGTACTACAAAGCAAGGTTCACTGTACCATCCAATATGGTACGATATGGACAGTATGTACTGGTTCACTCAAAAACCAACATGCATACTAGCCTGTATCAGGCAACACACATCAGATGGGGGTGTACCGCTTGGGCCCCCTGTATTGGGCAAAAAGATCGAAACTCACCGTCACCAACTGATATAGGTTGGTAATGTCAGATTCCCATCGTATCGGGCAAATTCAGTCAAATCATGCTTATTTTGGCATACAATTAACAATACACGAAGCTGCTTAAGATTTACCAATGAGGAACAAGGTAGAAAAGAGTAGGTATACTCGTATGTGAAGATAATATATACCTGCATCACTCAGAAGCAACAAAATGCATATTCAAAATGCACTTAAACAAGCAATTCATCCATTGAAACTATTTGGATTGCCTTCTTTAAACATTCTTTTCCGCTTAAGTAATAGCACAATTGTTTCTCAAAGCTTCAACCCCATGCTATCCCACATTTCATCCCTTTAAAATCTAGAACCATGAGGAATCCAACTCCCCATCTTTATTAGTCTGCATCAAATTTGTTCAACAAAACTCATATCAGCTTTATCTGTGTCCAGATTTTGCCCTTGAATAAACTGTTTTTACAATACATAGTACAACCAGCCATTGCTGAGCTAACAATTAGGTAACCCAAGCCTATTGTTGCACTGGGTCTACCGGCATCTTCAAACCTGCATGGCACTATGCTGGGACCTTGTGCACCTGTCTTTGCTAATGATATCTCAATCGTGGGATTCGAAAAGAAACTATCCAAGCTAGTAAAGTAGATTCTTAGCCCCACAGCATCAAAGTGTGTGCTTCATTGCTCCTTGAGAGCAAGGAATACACCACATCCTACTCTCGAAAAAAGAACAGATTTTTTAAAGCAGGGTCTTTCTGCTTCTGTTTATGCATAAAATTTGAATCATGCACCTTAAGGCTGAGCAGAGTCAAGAAAACTGGAATACTAAACCAAACAAGTTCATTTAGTTTGTTAGGCTCAGTTTAGTTCAGGTCGATTTCAGATTCAGTGAGCCAAAAACACGATAGTATTTAGTTTGGCCTGATATTGGTTCAGTTGGGCGAAAAGCCAGTTCAAACAAAACTCAATAGAATATTTAGATCGAGCCCACACATATTATAGCTTTAGCAGTTTATCTCAATGATTCAGGGCTCACAAAATGTGTTAGGGTTGCCCTAAACTACACAAAATCTGTCCCAAGCATTAACTCCATCTTTTCCCTCACCACCACCTTACCCCTCCCTCAATTGAAAAAGCTTCTTTTCCTCCCACCCCATCCCTTCATCTTTTATTATTATCTTTTTTCTTCCATATCTCGATCATAAGTGACAGAATTTCCCTGCTTCAAAAGACTTCCACACAAAGCACAATGCCTTATGCCTGTTTGCTATAATAAAGTTCAGCAAGATAGCATGACAGTGAGTCATACTCTATCAGAAAACCCAAACATTCTCGTCATGAACTTCAGATTCATATAATTCAAGGGCAATAGCTTTTGGATACACCTTCAATTTCTATTTAGACACTTACAGCAAGATGACACTATCTCAGTCAATAATACATTCTTTGGAAACAAAATCCACAGCATTTCCAACATTTCCGTAAAAAAGTCAAAAATAATTTGTAGCATATTCCATGAGTTGATTGCACCTTCTATTGTTTCAGTTTTATGCCTCACTCAAAACCAATAATAATGACATAACTACCCCTGTAGGTGTGAAGTACGCACATCTTTTGTAATTACTAGAACTTTCCTCTTTCTCTATTTTGTTCCTCAGATTTCAGATAAATGTTATACTTGCTGTAAAAGAGATTAGGATAGGATTGGAGACTACCCTGCACATCCAGACATTTAAACCAAAAATCTTTAAATGCAATCAAAGCAACTGATAAACAAGCAACCAAGACAGAGCGCAAAAGTGAAATTGCATAAGAGATTTAACAACTTCTGAAGTTTCTTTGGTGATTATTATAAATGCCAGAAGTATTGACAAAGTGGAAAATTAAGTAAATCACATCATCTTAACATCATGGGAAAATAAAGTATACCTCTGGAGCACCAGGTGCAATTCCGATAAGAACTAGCCATTTCTCAGTGGGATCACACCTGTAATTAATTATTTGATTGTTTGTCAAATTAGCAGCCCTATCAAACATCTTAAGAGGTTCTGCTTCACCTGCATTACAATAGCGACAATAACACATATTTTTGCATTGTCATTCAACCATCAGATTTTTCATATAGTAATATGATAATATAAGTTATCTTGCAAGCAGTGGGTAACCTTCTATTGACCAATGATAGACTGAAGTTTGTGTAGCCAGACCCAACATCTTTGGAGTGATCCACTTCCAAAAAACAACCTGCAAAGTTATCCAACATAACAAAAATTAAGCTCAATAAATATCAAAACCACAAAATCATGTCCAATAGACTCATATGAAGGAATAATTCATCAACACATTTACCTGCTCAGGCATCTGATGAGATTTAATTTTGGTCTTTGCCTCAATATTGAACACCTGCAAGTGATCCTGAGTAGTTCCAGGTATTTGAGCTGCAAGTTCAACAGATTACAAGTTCCATTAGCAACAAAAAGAATACTTAAATGTAAAGAAGCCTGGATTCAGAAATGATGATAACAATAACAAGAAATTGTAATCTCCCAACTATTTAGGGTCAGCTAGATGGTGCTTTACCCATTCCTATCAACTGGATATTTAAAGGCCTGCATAAAAGTTACTGCTGGTAGTACAGATCCAGAAGAAGTGGGACGTCGATCAGACAGAAAGTAACGAAATAGATACTCAGTACATCTAATGATGCAGAACTAATCTTATCTATCACTTATTTAAATAAATTTGATCAGTTAGGGATTATTTTTCATATGTCATAATTTGTCACATGGTAACATCCAAAATAATTCTAATCTAGATTACTAGTTTACTCACAGAACAGAAAATGAAAGAAAATCAAGATTGAAGATTTCAAATCCTGATTGAAGATTTTATGAAGATTGGTCTCTACGAAGATGGAAGCCTGTCAATCAAAAATATTATCTTCTTTGAAGGGAAGAATAGATCATATATTTGATTAGATGCAATTGTAAATTTTTTTCTATATTTTTCTTATTTTCTTGTACTTGGCCCTATAAAAAGGGCTAGAACATTATAATGGAGATCAACAAAAATGTATCATTAAATTGGGTTCTTCTCACCTTGTTTGTAAGTGGTGCAAGGTCACATTTGTTTTTTCAATGGCATAATTCCATCCTCCATGTACAAGACACATTTTTTATTATCTTTTGGTTATTTTCCAGGATTATTCTACTGTTGCTTGTCCTATATTAGATTTGGTATCAGAATTTCTAATTTAGCCAAGATATTCTATCAGCAAGACCGATCCATATTTCATGAACTTGAGGCGAGTTCCTATACAGACGAAGCATATGATGTGGGACTAATCTTGTCCATCACTTATTTAAATAAATTTAATTAGTTAAGGGTTATTTTGCATATGTCATATGTTGTCAAAAACCAAAATAATTCTAATTTATTTTCCTAGTTTACTTAAGGAACAAAAAAGCAAAAATATTAAAAAATAAGAAGAAATCAAGTTATGATTGTGATTAAATATTCCAAATCCTAATTGAAGAATTTTTGAAGATTGATTTCTACGAAGATAAAAGCTTATGAATCAAGAATCTTTGGAGGGCAGAACAGATCATACATTTGACTTTATGCAATTGTAAATTTTTTACTTTTATATTTTTTTCTTGCACTTGCCTTTTCTGAAGGAACTAGAACACTGTAACGGAGATCATCAAAAATGTATGTGGCCACATTTGTTCTTCCATTGGTATGATTCCATCATTCACATGTGAGATGTGTGAAGGTGTAAGGCTTTCATCCTTGGTGTACTCTACTTGAGCTAGAGCGAGTCGGGTAGTTATTATTTTTTTTTTTTATCTTTCGATTATTATTTTTCTCTTCTATCTTTCCATTCGTCTATTAATAAAAATAGATTTGTTGCTCATCCTACATCATCTAATATCATAATTAACAATATCAAAGGAATATTTTATGAGAATTGAGTTGTCTATGTTACTAAGCACCTTAAAGCAACATATACAAAGATTTTTTCTAGTTTAAGAAAGAACATTTGCCAATAGTTGGGATAAAAACTTCTACAAATAATCTCCTATGTAAAGAAAAATCCAAGATAATTATGAACAGAGTTGGTGCACTTGGAAAAAAAACTTCCTTTTTCCCATCAAAGGGTTTAAAGCAAGGATACAATAAGTCCCATAGAAATGCAGTAGCTAACTTATACACCCATTTCTAGGGAAATTCAGTGAAGATTCTGAGTTGCTAATTTCATACTCCTTTCTTATCCCTCTAAGACATCATCATCCAGAAAAATATAACATGGTTTCTTTGGTGACAGATCAACTACAATCAAACACAATGCTACAAACTCATGCCATGAAAGTAAAAGCAGTTTGCTTCATACTAAACATTTTAGGGATTAGTCATTTCATGGATTCTGATCGTGTACGGTATATACTATATTTTACAAGCCTGTATATGGAAAAATACAGCTCTCTTAATAATGTATTTGTATAAACTACTTAGTGCAAATCTTTCAAAGACTCCACTACGTCGAACCAATTGAGACATAGTTCAACACAACAGCTTTTAGCACGGTCCAAATTTTCTACTGTGTGACCAATTTCTTACTGAATAAGATAATGCAAACCAAGCAGAATCGATGATCTAAATTAATAAGCTAGCCAATGTTTCTAGCTTGTAAAAATACTTCATGGCTTCCATTTGAAAGTTAATGTGCTAAAAAGAGACTAAAGATGGCATGACATCAGACTGACAATAGAACTCACTTCAGCAGAAATATGTAATTTGAGTAAGAAATGTGGAAGCTTATATTTAGTTCAGAAACCTTTAAGTGCAAGAATCCTGCTGTTGGGATTCATCAAAGCAGAGTCTGCTGTGATCGGCCTCCTCAAAGGCTGCATCGGCATGTTCATATCAACGATAACCACGCTATTCTGGGGAGAGGTCTCCCGAACGCATACGTACTTGTCCGATTCCATCGTGACATGCGTAAACGTAATGAACTGAGGATTGATCCCGATGCTCGGAAGCTGCACATCACATCAAAAACTATCGGAACACACAAAGATGGCATTTTTCCCGCATTATCAAGAAGAAATGTCAATGCCCCACGCCACATCAAAATCTACTGCGACAGATCGGAAACAAAACCAGCATCTCCTCCGAAAATTCAGCAAGAAAGCAATCGGGTCGGAATCGACGAGAACTGAGAAAGAGCGGATAACGGGGACCAGAAGAGCGATGGGACTCACGGTCAGGGCCTCCCGCATCACGATGGGGGCGCTGGCAGCCGCCATGGCAACTGGATCGAGGCTCGGCTAGGTTCCGGCACCCGGACGAGGAGGAGAAGAGATATCCAGACGCCTCTTTTGATCTGGAGGAGCGGAACCCTATCGGCGATTCCACAGAGGGGTCGGGATGAGAGAAGTCGTCGAGATCTGAGACGCGAACGGATCTCACGCAGTATATAAAGCGAACACATTATTTCACGATATGAAATAAAAAGGGAACTATTTTCGAATTCACCCCTATAGATGTCAAAATCACATCGATAAGTTAAGAAAAGATATTGCGTTTTTATGAATAAAACCCCATTTTATGCAAGTTTACTTAATTTTGTAAATGTTTTGGACGTAAATGCAAAATCTGAATACATAAATCTCTATTTCCAAAGGTTACAACACGTCGTAAGACGAAAAAAGTTAATATACGAGACATTAATCCACTTGGTTACTACATAATTTCCACTAATAAAAACATTCCATATCACTATGTTCAAGTTTTTACAAAATTTTAAGTAATTAGAGAGTCAATAAGGGCAAGTTCTTCAAATTATTTCTCAAGATGATGATATAATCTGGTTGGTTAAAGAAACAGCAAGCGAGACGATAGTCCACAACGAACTTGTCAAAAATGTTTATTTTTTTATACCAATTTTAATTGAATGTATTAGTTTTATTGACTTGATCTGAACTTTTAATTGGATTAAAACTTAGACATTTGGATTATCAGATTTACTCTTATTTATAACAAGGATTTATTTGTTTGATTTATACGATGGGAAATTATTTTCTAACGAAAAAAGATATGGATATATGTTGTTTATTTTTTAGCTAAAAAAAAATTTTCTAGCCATTGATTTTTTTTTTAACAACTGTATCTTTCAACCAAATCAACTTTATAAAACTAAAATATGTTATGATCGAATCGGCACTAAGAGGGGGCGGATAAAAACATTGGTTTTGAAAAATCTTCGTTTCGATAAAACCGATATCGACAAAGCCCGTATAGGAAATATGTTTAACTTGAAAACATGTTTGTAAACGTAGTAGAAGTAAAGCAAATAAGGCAGTTTACAATGAAGGTAAATAGTAAGAATAGAAATGCAAACCAAGTTTATAGTGATTCGGTCATCGTGACATACATCTACTCCGTCGAGACCACCGGCATCCACTAACGATCTTCTTTCAACGGGCGAAGATTAACTACCCTTTTACACCTGATTCTCCTTTTGACAAGTTCAGGAGAGAACCTTTACACCCTCACTTACTCCTCTCTTAAACTTCACTAACATTTAGAGCTTTGAGAGGAGTTCTCACAATATTATAACAGTGTTTTTCTTCTTTTTTGCTCTTAATTCTTGTGTTATCTAACCAAGGATAAAAAGGGTATTTATAGACCTTAAATGGATTCAAACTTGAAGCCTAAAAGTGTCTCATCCCCGATTTTCAAGGTATTGGTGGTACCACCGCTTGTGTTAGACGGTACTACCGCTTGTGTTGGGCAGTACTACCGCTTGCAGCACTGACATTGGGCGACACCACCGCCTAGTCTAGTGATACCATCGCTTGACACCCTGCCACTAGGCGGTACCACCGCCTGACAGTCTCTCGGAGACTGTGTTTGGGCGGTATCACCGCCTGACACAATCTCGGAGACCGTGCCACGACGGTTCCACCTATTAGGTCATTGTTTGGGCCTTTTACTTAGCCCAACACAGCCCAAACTTGGGCCCAATTAGCCCCTAATTGAGTTGCCTAAATTCCAATCCAATTATGTCTAAAACCTACTTCGATCTATATGATTATTACAAAGCTAATCAAATATTGTCCGGCATGTTATTAGTTCATCGAGGCCTCGTCTGATTCTTCGGCGCATCATCCTCTCTTGCGGCCTATTGCCTAATAGGCCAATTGATCTTCACAACTCCGATTTCCTTGACACAATTTTTGCTCTTCTTGGCCCGATGCCCGATCCCATGACCCAAGGCCTTCTGTCGATATGTTGACCGATACTCCGGCTTGACTTCCAATCTTCTAACATGTTCTACTCCGGATTCTTCCTACTTTAATTGTCTCTCCTTGATCAAAGCTTTCTGTGTTACTCAAAATGCAGATCAAATCATAAACATATTAATTGGTTTCATCATCAAAATCCGAGATTCAACAATCTTCCCTTTTTTATGATGACAACCAATTGATGACGGAGTTAACCTTAACTCCCCCTATCAATATGTCATATTGATAGAAACCTTGAATTCAAATTGAATTCAAATCAAGGCAAATTTAATCATAAATCCAAGCAACATGTCATCATAAAAGTATGCATAATCAAAATTTCAATACATTATTCTATGCATAATTATCATCATAACTTTTCCCCTTTTGTCATCAACAAAAAGGAGAAGTACAACTAGCAATTTTTGATACATGCAAGTTCTACTTCATTATAAAACATGTAAGCTAAGCAATTTAGCAAATTTCCCATCACTTTAGAACATGCAAGTGAGTTCTTTCTTCTTTTTTAAGAAGTCCGAGCTAGAAATTTTTGCTTTTTTTTTGCAATATGTAAGTTGCAAGTTTTACTTCTTGAAATGGGCAAGATAGAACTCTAGCTTGAGATTACAAGTTAGCAAGATAGTAATGCATCATTTTAGAATATACAAGCTAGCAAATTTACTTTTATTTGCATTGTGCAAGCTAGTGTGATTTGCTTCTCCTTGAATTGTGCAAGTTAGCAAATTTTATATCATTTTAGAACATGCAAGCTAGCAAATTTTTGAGATGTTCATGCATCATGAGTATTGCCTCTCTTGAGATGTGCACTTCTTGCTTCTCTTTTGAGATGAGCAAGCTAGCAAGTTTTGCCTCTTTTTACCATATGCAAGTTAGCAATTTTTGCTTCCTTTTGAAATGTGCAAGTTAGCAATTTTTCTCCCCCTTTGTCATTGTCAAAAAGAAGGAAAGAATATAATGTTGTAATTTTTTTTCCTTTACATCAATTTTCAAATTATGACAAAGATAAAGTATCATTCTTATTTCAATATGACATATTAAAATAAGGTATCATTTTAGAAAATGATAATTATTGACTTTCACATTATTTTATCAAAAAATCATAAGTATTGCATGCATCATTCCAAATCATAAATATTTCAAATCATGATGGCATCAAAATATCAAATTACATTACATTCTACCATGCATGATCATAACTTCTCATTTGTATACATCAACATAATATCATGAGTATTTCATGTATAATTTCATATCATCACATGGAGAATATCAAGAAAAATTAATTAGGTGATGAGATATACACTTCATGAATACAAGGGAGTCATGAACCAAATTTCAAGTTATGAATATCAAAAAATCAAGAAAAAAATTTATGATTCTTTTTGGATGACTCAAATAGCGAAAAGAAGAATTATATTAAACAATCTTGATTCATAAGAAATATCATGTTATAAAACCAAGAATTCACAAGAAAAATCATGATTCATTTAAACACATCTCTTCTTTTGTAAATGACAAACAGAAACATATGAGGATAGAATGGTAGAATATATTGATTCATGCATAAGAAATCTCATGATTCATATAAAAAATCTCCTCTTAAGAAAATACCAAGTAGAATTGTAGGAGAACAATTAATGAAAAATCTTGATTCATAATAAGTCTTAATTTATAAATATCAAGGAATCAAGATCATGATTTGGATAAAAATTTATTCAAATTTAAATCATCAAATCATCAAAATCACTTTCATAGTTCAAGAGATTTAAAATAATATAAATATATTTATCAATCTCTTATTCAAAATTCGATAAGATAGAGAAAAAAAAATTTTAAGAAAAATACTTTCCTCTTTATAGTTGTTTCAATTCATGTGATTTATTTCATACAAGCATGCCTTTGTCATTTATACCAAACAAAAACAAGCATCATCGTTTAAAATCGAAAAAGGAACTTTCATTATGATAAAGATCAGTAAGCCATAAATCACAAGAATCATCATGCATAATTTCAAAATATAAACTCATTAAGCATGATTTTAAATCATCATTACATTATTTCATCAAGCATGATTTCATAAAGCGTTTTTAATCAAAATCATTTTATTTGTTATAGTAATGTATTGTCCTTCTTTGCATCAATGATTCAATCATATCATGAGATATACAAATGATAAATACAAAGAAATCATGTCATCAAAGATATAAGATCAAAAGTGTTACACGTAATTCCAAAACATAAGATTTCAAAACATTATGCATTATTAAATCATCATCTATGATTTCATTAAACATAAAACATTTTTAAACGAAATCGAAAAGTAATACGAAAATCATTAAGATACACATTATTGCTTCTTAAAAACATACACAAGATTAATCTTATTAGATGTACAAGCATTAGATCTAACATTTTATTCCTTTATCATAAAACATACAATTTTCATGATCATTTTCAAAATCACTAGAAAGATAAGCATGGTCTCCATA